GACCATCAACCTCTCCTCTCGCATACACCGGAGTGATGAACATACTCACAATATCGTACAAGGCTATGCCTGTGTAACTATGACTAATCAGACTGATGTGTAGGAGTGTTAAAATAAATAAATAATAATAATAATAATAATAAGTGCATGTATGATGCGCCAGATTCCATTCACCAAGTGGATGCTCATAGCGCTACACTATTATTTACCCGATCAATGGATCAGTGAGCCCTCGATTTTCATTCTCAGCTCCCTGGGGAGTATACAGCCCTAGCTGCCTGTGAGGCGCTAGAAGGTTAACAGCCACATTCCCATCTCATCCTACCGGGTACCCACTCACTGCTGGGTGAACAGAGGCACATTTCGAACAAAGTCACTTGCCTAAGATGACACCACATGTGGTACATGTGCTTCAGTGTGGGGCAGGACCGAAGCCCTAGAAACTCTCAGGAGTCAAGCTGCTTAGTGCGGTCACCCATCCAACTACTCCCCGAGACCGACGTTGCTTAACTTCACCTGATTTGTGATCTGTGCGCTGTGCACAAGACCACGTGCCACAACCTTAAAATCAATAGACGAATTCTGAAAACTACAACCAAACGTTAGCGATAATTACAAGTTCATCAAATATCTGATTCATAACAGGAGTATAACCTCATCAAATTAATATAACAACGTCATCTTCGCTGGAACCAGTTCATTGTGTAGGCTTGATGACAAAGGTCGCACCTCGCTTGGCTGTAAGAATATGGATAACACATCAACATTCTTGTCATTCACTCCAAGACTTTCAAATAAGAGGACGGTTACGGCATCGGCCACAACGGCTGTGACAGTAAGGACACTGTTGGTGTTGATACAATCACGTTATTGTGAACGCCGCACGACAACAAACACTTTGTTCAAACAGTGTAATATGCTTTTTCTTTGAGTGAGTGAGTGAGTGAGTGAGTATGGTTTTACGCCGCTTTTAGCAATATTCCAGCAATATCAAGGCGGGGGACATCAGAAATGGGCTTCACACATTGTACCCATGTCTGGAATCGATCCCGGGTCTTCGGCGTGACGAGCGAACGCTTTAACCACCAGGCTACCCGACCGCCCCCGGGAGTAGATTATCCTCTTTTTCTTTGAAAATGTTCAGGTCACATTGATTCGCTACCTTTAGCACCAATCAGGAATATGATACTCACAATGCATCATTGGAATGGTTTCTTAAGAGAAAGTGGGGCGGTCGGATAGCCTGGTGGTTAAAGCGTTCGCTCGTCACGCCGAAGACCCGGGTTCGAATCCCGACATGGGTACAATGTGTGAAGCCCATTTCTGGTGTCCCCCGCCGTGATATTGCTGGAATATTGCTAAAAGCGGCGTACAACCATACTCACTCACTCACTCTTGAGAGAAAAGAATGTGACAATACCATTTATTAAACAGTAGCTCGCGTGTCATCAATTTATTGAATTATTTCAATTCATTCTGTAAATATATGGTAGTAGTAGTAGCAGCGGAATAGAAGTAGTAGAAGGAGGAGGAAGAGAAGCAGCAGCAATTGTAGTAGCAGCAGCAGCAGTATAGTATCAATAGTAGTGTCACCATAATTATTATCACTAACATTAGCAGTAAGTCATTCTGTAAAGATATAATCTTCTTCATTGGTAATAGTAGCAGTAGCAGCAGTAGCATTGATAGTAGCAGGAAGGAATAATAGAAGTATCAGCAGTAGCAGTTTGTAGCAGTAGAAACAGCAGGAACATTGATAGTAGCAGTAGAAGTAGCATCAAAGGCAGTAGTGGCCGTAGTAGCATCAATAGTAGAAGCAACAATAGTAGCAGTAGATGTAGAAGAAGCAGTAGTAGATCAGTAGTGACAGGAGTAGCATTAATAGTAGAAGCAACAATAGTAGCAGTAGTAGTAGAAGAAGTAGTAGTAGAGCAGTAGTGGCAGTAGTAGCAGTACCAGTAGTAGTACCAGTAGTAGTAGCAGCAGAAGTTAGTAGTAGTAGCAGTAGTAGTAGTAGTAGTAGCCGCAGTAGTGTCATAGTAGTAATAGCAGAGCACAAGTAGCAGTATCATCATCAATACTATTATAAGCATTACTCAGAGGTAGTCTCGTTATTATTATCATTATTATCAGTATGATTGTCATTGTAATATAATAATATGAAGAACATAACGATGACATTAATAAATATAATAATTATCGCTGTTTTCAACATGTTATAGTCATGATCATCATCACGTGTTCTCTAGCCAAACAGTGCGAAAATGCTATATGACAAAATCCCCAAGACAAGACCATTTCAACAAATAAACGAAACCTGTCTTTTTGGCGTATCATGTTTTGTTCTGCTGACGCAATCGTTGAAGGTGGTGAGTTATCGATGTGGCACCACGCGTCTCTGATGGGGATCAGTCATGTCAATAACGCATCCATAATGCTGAGCCCAGTGACAGGAGGTATCAGCGTCGTGGTGACTTTCATCACCACTTTACCCCTGGTGGATCTGGTCCTCGCACAGGGGCTGCACTTTCGATCGCAACGCCTCCATCCAAACAATATGTTGGCGGTTAATTGTTTCTAGTCATGTATATAGGCTTCATTGATCACGCCAAGAAATGCAAATGATATCATCAATAACATAGTAACAGAATTTGTGTGATTGATTGCGTCTTCTTACCACTTTCGTGAGCTCCCTAAAGATATCTGAATGTTCCGAAGCTCACCTTCTGTAATTTCGATCGAACTGTGAAAGTGAGTGAATGAGTGAGTTGGGTTTAACGCCGCTTTTAACAGTATTCCAGTTATATCGCGGCGTGTCAGCTTAATGTGGGAGGAAAGCCCGAAGTGATGCAGGTCTCAGGCGTTTACCACTTCGGTGAAACTCACGAGCACGGGTATGGTGCTGACAAACCTAGAAACATAATTGGGGCGAACCGGGATTCGAACCCACAATCATAGGTTTCTGGCGTGCCCAAGGTACGCAACTCTGCAGAGCGAATCGCGGCGCCTTAGACGACTGGGCCACCCTTGCCCCCCCCCCCCCCCCCCCCCCCGAACTGTGAAAGGGATGTGGTTGATTGTTGAAACCAACCACGAGTACAATGCTTAGATGATTTACGAGTACATATTTCTGCCTACGGGTAACCATCAATTATCGTGTCTAAACATAATTTTAATAGTGATGATGATTATCATGCCAGGTGGAAGCGCATGTGGATCATACAGCGCAATTAGTTTTTGGTTGTTGTGTACAGTAGTACATATCTTGCAAATGGTTGTACATATGCCGTATACAGTTGTACATATGTTGTATACGGGAACACATATTTTGCATACAATAGTAGATATGTTGTCTACGGGAATGCATATGTCGAATACAATACTACACTTGTTGCATACATTTGTACATAATGTTACATACAGTAGTACATATGTTACAGATACAGATTACTCAACGTATCTTTCAAGCGAAGTGCGTTAGATGCGTTTTCCATAATAACACTTGCAATCGGAATATTATCGTACACTGACGAGTGTTATAAGTTATACATTTAAGTTATTAAATGAGACATCACTGGAACATGGTGAACGTATCAATACAACAAAAAGTGTCGACAATAGACTGAAATGAGGAAAGATACGATGCTGATACATGAGACATGCTTATTAGAGGGCTGGTCAAAAGCTTCTAAACCTGACTAACATTCAACTATTTGCCATAACAACGTGAACTAGTCAGTGTAATACATTGTTTATGTTCATTGCAAGTGTATGTGGTCTGTTGAGGCTGTTTGTGTATTAGTGACAGCCAGGTGAACGTGATAGGGGTCCAAATGGACACATAAATGGAAACGCAGTCATCAAGTTTTTTACCCCAAGAAATTCATGACCACATGTCACAAGTGTATTGGGAGAAGTGCCCTAGCTAGTCCACTGTTTAATGTTGTGCAGCTATGGTGTACGGCTGGGAGAACAAGCCTTGACGATGACCCAAGGTCTGGACGTCCCTCAACTTCCATCAATGGATATTCAATCAAGGAGATAGACAAACTTATACTGTCAGATAGACATATTACCATTGCTGAACTTGAGGAAGACACAGGTCTAAGCCATGGATCCATTGAAACTATTATTCATGAACATTTACAGATGAATAAGGTATCTCCTCGTAGGGTGCCAATTGCAAGGTTTCTAAATGCTGATCTTAAAGACAAATGAACTGACATTGCCAAAGAAAACTTAAAGCAAACTGAGGAGGAGTTCGACAAGTTCAAAAAGAGATTATTAACGGGTGATGAAACATGGGTCTACCACTATGATCCCGAGACAAAACGTCAATCAATGGAAGAGCACAATTCCACTTCCCCGGCACCAAAGAAAATAAGTCTTCAAGATCAGTGAAGAAAGATACGGCCACTGTATTCTGGGATGCAAAGGGTGTGATCCTTGTTGATTACTTAGAAAGTGATTTAGTAAAAGGACGATTACCAGTGCCTACTATGCTCATTTGCTTCATCGCCTGAGAGATTTTATCAAAGAAAAGCGGCGAGGAATGGAGTTCTACAACTTCATGACATTTCCTCTTCTCACACATTTCGACTTGCAAAGGCTGCTTGTCGACATTGTGGGTCGTAGAGTTTCCTCACTCTCCATACTCGCCAGACTTGGCATCAAGTGATTTCCACCTGTTTCCTAAACTGAAAAGAACACCTTTGCGGACAACGACGATGACCTCAAAGCTGCCGTGAATGACTTCAACAGGGTGTCTTCAGAAAACGTCTTCCTGACAGGAATTGAAAAGTTTCACTTTCGATATTAGAAATGTATTGAAAAGCAGGGAGATTATGTTGAAAAATAAAATTTTAAAACTTTCATAATTGTTGGAACTTAGAACTCTTTGACCAGCCCTCGTAATATACGAACCACAAATAACATCAAGATAAAACATCTGCATTATTAGGAAGAATCTGTATCTAGTTTTATTTCTTCAACGCTAGACTGTGACACTGGAGGTAGAAAGATGCCAAGAGATGACGTTGAACTGGGTGTTTTTATTTAACACGAGTCAGCGGGTGGATGGTACTTTCATAATGACCGTTGCGTACACACCAATAAAGTTACACCTGATATTCACGACACAAGACTTCACCGATGGACATTCCTGAGGACGTCATGTCCAACGACCGTCCACTTGGTTCAGGAGAGGCTATTCTCATTTGTTCAGGACAGTGGCGATCAATTAATTGACGCTGAGGCACACCGTTCTGTTTATTATTGATCCTTTGAAGCCTAATATTGCCATGATTCTTGTATTACCTACAAGGCATAAAGGATAAAAACCCGTATACGGAAACACCCCCATTGTACCAGCGCTAAATCAAAGGCATCTGCAAACATAAACAATCTATGCCCAAATCAAGTATAATGGTTTTATCGGAGGGTTATGAAATGTACGCAAATTGTGTCCATGTATTATTGGTGTTTCGTGACAATTAGGCGGATCTACCGGGAGTAGAAAGTGAGTGAATATGATTTTACGCCGCTTTTAGCAATATTCCAGCAATATCACAGCGGGGGACACCAGAAATGGACTTCACACATTGTACCCATGTCGTCAATCGAACCCGGGTCTTCGGCGTGACGAGGGAAGGCTTTAACCACTAGGCTACCCGACCGCCCCCGGGAGTAGATTATCCGACTGGGAGCAATGTAGACGTAGTGTACACATTGCTAACGACACCCCCAGTTAAACCCCCAGATGAATAGTTCCGTCAGAAGGTGCCAGTCTTTGTTACAAGGTGTAATATGTATTTTTATTAAATAATGGACATCTTCAGCAGGTGTGTATATATATACGGTTGTATGTTTGTATGTTTGTATGTTTGTTTGTATGTTTGTTTAACACCGCACTCAGCCATATTCAAGCTAGTATTGTTTGTTTGTTGAAGTAGTATTTATGTTCTATACGGTAGTACATATGTTGTATACAATAGTATATATGTTGTATGTAGTAGTACATATGTTGTACATAGTATTACATTTGCTGTATCAGGTAGCACATCTCTTGTATACGGTTGCTCACATGTTCCATACAATAGAATTTATTATTATACAGTCTTACATATGTTGTATACAGTAGTACATATGTTGTATATGGTTGTACAGATGATGTATACAAGAAGAACTAATCCATTATCCGGTTGTACACTCTTTGAATCTGGCATATTTACAGTGAAGGGTGAGACGTCCTGGTTAACATGTGTCCGTCACATGATTTACAAGTTATTCTTTATCGGGACTGTACAGCATTCCTGAAAAAGACAGAAACGATGTGTACAGTTGTCAGTCACCAAAATCTTTATTAGTGTCCTATTTGCTCCCCACTACGCTAAACCCGGTAACCAATTCACAGACTCGTGTCTGTGCTGTGATGAAGGGTGACATATTTCCAGTGATACACATTTACTGTAGACCACCTTAACCTACTCATGATACATGCTGTCACATTTCAATTCACGGACATATTAACGTGCACACTGTGGCGTCGACATCCTCCAGACAATGTATCCAGTGATGTAAGTCGACAAGGACACGTATGAAACAAACCACCTTGTTCTACCTACTATGCATCATTTAATGAAACGGCCTCTCTGTCCAGTACTGTAAGTTGTTAAGGTCTAGATACATCTGGACACAAACCACCCCATCTTACCTGCAATGCACGCCGTCATGAAGCAGGCTATCTGTCCAGTGATGTTAGCTCTGACGACATACTTGCTGATGACATCCTTCCTGCTGGGTGCCAGGGCAGTGAGGACGCCCATAGTGACGCCCACAGCACCCAGATGGTTCAGACCACACATGGCATACGTGCCTATAACCTCAGACCGCCTCTGAAGAGGAAGGACGTTATAAGTGAATGTACTCCACTTTCATCTCTCCACTGTACACTACTGGGTGAAATGTACATGGTGTCATCGTTTTAATTGTTTGAGTCACAGTGTAGGAGTGAGATAATCAACTACATCTTGTATGAATTTAAACTAGCATCTACACTCAGATGGCACAGGGGAACAATCGTCTAAGACGCCGCAATTGTCTATGCAGAGTTGGGTCCCGTAGTCAGTCCAAAATCCTTTCAGTGATTGAATATTCCTTTAGGCCATATCAACAGTATTGCAGTCTTTCGCGGCTGAATATAACTTAGAATACCGTTTAGCTCTGATTATGGTTCTAGGTTTGTCGGGGCGGTCGGGTAGCCTAGTGGTTAAAGCGTTCGCTCGTCACGCCGAAGACCCGGGTTCGATTCCCGACATGGGTACAATGTGTGAAGCCCATTTCTGGTGTCCCCCGCCGTGATATTGCTGGAATATTGCTAAAAGCGGCGTAAACCCGTACTCACTCATTCACTCACTCTAGGTTTGTCAGCACCATACTCGTGCGCGTCGGTTTCACCAAAATAGTAAACGACAGAGATCTCCGCCTATGATTGTGACTATGATTTTCAATCATAAGAGGGATTATCTAGTACTGGAAGATATTTTGTTAATGTATTTATGATCATTTTTGCCACCTAAAAAATTGAACACAGTTTGTTGTAATAGTTGGCTGTTCAGCGCTTTATTTAGATACTTTGATCTTCCTATTCGCTATTCGTGTTTTTCCCATGTTAAGAAACGCACTTTGGCTAATCGTCCCTGACTGACTATCTCAATTTCCCGGTTGACCAGGAGAGAAAGGCCTCTCCGAGGTCCGCGCGCAAGAATATATACATGTACCTTTGTTAAGATCATGTGGCTTTACCCCCCAGGATTCGTTAGGCCATTTACGGGTCGATGTGTTACTAGGTGGTCGCTCGAAACTCAGGTTTTGAAGGCAAGTGATTACAGGCACTATTCATCTAGTACTGACTGAGCAACCTTCCCGTGATTTTCTTAGACTAGCTTTTGGGGAATTTTAGTATTTCCTTGCTCAGTCCAAGTGGCTGATATTTGATATTCAGACGTTCTCGTCTACTTTATGGTCTATGTGACATATTTTAGGGATAGGGGGGCACGGGTGGCCCAGTCGTCTAAGGCGCCGCGATTCGCTGAGCAGAGTTACGTCACCATACCCTTGCTCGTGGGTTTCACCGTAGAGGTAAACGTCTAAGATCTGCATCACTTCGTGCTTTCCTCCCACATTAAGCTGACACGTCGTGATATAACTGAAATACTGTTAAAAGCGGCGTTAAACCCAACTCACTCACTCACTCACTTTTAGGGATAGACCCTGTGTTTGTTTCCCGTTATTTAACCCAGCCAAGGTTATTCACTTATTAGAGTGTTGAGTTAATTCACTCAGGTGTTAGTTGGTCGCAGCTGACGTAATCGGCTTCTGTGTATCTTGTTTGCATCATGTCAAAGTGTTGTTTTAGCTACTTTCAATGTATGACAGAAATATAGTTGCTTAGCTATGCCCCCTGTGTATTTACTCTAACTTACTCAATCAGTGATCAGTGATCATTGTCAGTATAGATTAGATTTTTGAATCCATTATGTTGTCGCCTATTGATCTACTTTTCTGTTTGCAATAAACATGTGAACCTATAACCATGTTCTTCATTATTATTTTTTTTACTTTTTTTATGACAGCCATGATCATTGGAGCACAGCTACGTGACGTCTCTACTGTACCAAAAAGGGATGGATGCCCAGTAGACACGTAAAATATCCCAACAACTCAGTGATTTGGCATTAACGCCCCTTTCATCAATATTTCAGAGCTATCACTGCTATATGACTTCCGAAAGCCTAGCGAGATGCATACTGTTGACATTTACCATTTTAATGAAACCCCCGGTATGTGCTGACAAACACAGGAGCATGGATTCGAACCCAGCTAACACTGGAAGGAGCTCTACCTGTACCGCCAACATTATAGTTGTATGTATGCAAAGGCAGGAGATGCTGTTCACATTGCTTTAGATTTGTAGCCATTCTAACACCACACTAACATTCCTTCCGAAGTAGCGGCTGTAAAATATCACTTTGTCATTCAGATATAGGCTCACAAATAATTATTTCAGTAACCATGTGATATTAAGTCCAAATGCCCTTTTGGTCAGGGGACAGAAGTGCTTAGTATCCTTGGACCGCATGTTACCTAACTAGATACGGGATAACAGGTGAATAGCTGTCTACCCTTGATTATCTGGACAGGTGATGGGCTCTGTGTATACAACTAACTGTGCACCGTGGCTGCCAGATCCCGGGGTTTGAATCCAATATACATCATGATTTAGATATTTCATCTGTCAGTACGAATCTGCCGTACCCGCAGATGACATAACTACTTTGTGGCAGACTTGCAAATTGGAGGTTCATACCACAGACGCAAACTGGCCACCGATCAGTTATCGCCATTTTTGTTGTGTGATTACTCACTGTGAGTATCCTTTAATGCAGGGCTCTTTTGGTCAAGATATACTCACTGTGAGTATTCCTCCAATCAGGGTTCTGTTGGTCGAATCCAGGATGACGTTGCCTCCCTCCCAATGCCAGCTTCCGTTTGTTGCTGTCACGTATTCCTCCAGATCGACACGGTTCAGCACCAGTTTACCAAACTCACGAAATCCCACAAATGAATTTGCGAATATCTTGATTCCCAGCAGTTCGCCCATCTTGAAGAGATCCGAACTCGAGAACCCCATGAGGTAGGTGAGTGGGTAGAAGAGGTAGGAACAAATCAGCTGAAACACAGACAGATATAACAGCTGTGTATACGTAAAGCTGAAACACAGACAGATATAACAGCTGTGTATAGGTATAGGGGAAACACAGACATATATAACAGCTGTGTATACGTATAGGGGAAACACAGACAGATATAACAGCTGTGTATACGTATAGGGGAAACATAGATGCATATAACAGCAGTGTAATCGAAAAGCTGAAACATAGATACATATAACAGCTGTGTATACGTAGAGTTGAATCATAGGTAGATACAGGAACCACACAATGTGAAATATAGGAGCAAGATATAACAGCTGTATATCCGCACTTAGTATGCCTAAAAGTGAGATTGACCAATCAGAAAGCAGAGCTACTGACCCCACATGAGCCCGTATACCGTCATTAAAAATCCAAGATGGGTGTTATTGACCTAATATGAGACCGAATACCGTCACCCATCTCACATATTTCACACAAAAAATTCTGGTACAGAAATTCTTTAATCGACACTGTTTTGTGTTTCAATATCAAAAATTTTGATGTGCAAGGACGTTAATGGGTATTTTTATCACGTTCGTGACTTTAAGAAAGATTATATAAAGTTAAAATTATCAACAAGGTTTAGTCTCTGAGGTTTGAAGAGTAGTCTCCCTTTGACCTTTAACGTCTCAGGTTGTAAATGTTAAGTTTTGTGTTTTAAGTTTTGATAGACATGTGCGACAAAGATACCAAATAGTGTAAACTTTTCGGCATAATGAATACAGTGTCATATTAGGTTAGCAGAAAACTACTTCTCTGCTAACCTAATATGATACCGTATACGGCAACTAAAGACACCATAACTAACAATGTAGGAAAAGAGATGTTCGTACAGAAAGCAAGGTAGCTGAAACATAAGAGAATTAACAGCTGTATATTCGTACAGAAAGCAAGGTTGCTGAAACATAGGAGATATAATAACAGCTGTATATTCGTACATGTAGGAACAGTGTAGCTGACACATAAGAGATATAACAGCTGTATATTCGTACATGTAGGAACAGTGAAGCTGAAACATAGGAGATATAGCAGCTGTATATTCGTACATGTAGGAACAGTGTAGCTGAAATATAGGAGATATAACAGCTGTATATTCGTACATGTAGGAACAGTGTAGCTGAAATATAGGACATATAACAGCTGTATACACGTACATGTAGGAACAGTGTAGCTGAAAGATAGGAGATATAACAGCTGTATATTCGTCCATGTGGGAACAGTGTAGCTGAAACATAGGAAATATAACAGCTGTATATTCGTCCATGTGGGAACAGTGTAGCTGAAACATAGGAGATATAACACCTGTATATTCATACATGTAGAAACAGTGTAGCTGAAACATAAGAGATATAACAGGTGTATATTCGTACATGTAGGAACAGTGTAGCTGAAATATAGGAGATATAACAGCTGTATACTCGTACATGTAGGAACAGTGCAGCTGAAAGATAGGAGATATAACAGCTGTATATTCGTACATGTGGGAACAGTACTAGTGTAGCTGAAACATAAGAGATATAACCGTTATATATTCGTACATGTAGGAACAGTGTAGCTGAAACATAGAAGATATAACAGCTATATATTCGTACATGTAGGAACATTGTAGCTGAAATATAGGAGATAAAACAGCTGTATATTCGTACAGAAATCAAGGTAGCTAAAACATAAGAGATATAACAGCTGTATTTTCGTACATGTAGGAACAGTGTACCTGAAACATAAGAGATATAACAGGTGTATATTCGTACATGTAGGAACATTGTAGCTGAAATATAGGAGATATAACAGCTGTATACTCGTACATGTAGGAACAGTGCAGCTGAAAGATAGGAGATATAACAGCTGTATATTCGTCCATGTGGGAACAGTGTAGCTGAAACATAAGAGATATAACCGTTATATATTCGTACATGTAGGAACAGTGTAGCTGAAACATAGAAGATATAACAGCTATATATTCGTACATGTAGAAACATTGTAGCTGAAATATAGGAGATAAAACAGCTGTATATTCGTACAGAAATCAAGGTAGCTAAAAAGTAAGAGATGTAGCAGCTGTATATTCGTACATGTAGGAACAGTGTAGCTGAAATATAGGAGATATAACAGCTGTGTATTCGTACATGTAGGAACAGTGTAGCTGAAATATCGGAGATATAACAGCTGTATATTCGTACATGTAGGAACAGCGTAGCTGAAACATAGGAGATATAGCAGCTGTATATTCGTACATGTAGGAACAGTGTAGCTGAAATATAGGAGATATAACAGCTGTGTATTCGTACATGTAGGAACAGTGTAGCTGAAATATCGGAGATATAACAGCTGTATATTCGTACATGTAGGAACAGCGTAGCTGAAACATAGGAGATATAGCAGCTGTATATTCGTACATGTAGGAACAGTGTAGCTGAAACATAGGAGATATAACAGCTGTATATTCGTACATGTAGGAACAATGTAGATGAAACATAGGAGAGATAACAGCTGTGTATTCATACATGTAGGAACAGTGTGGCTGAAATATAGGAGAGATAACAGCTGTGTATTCGTACATGTAGGAACAGTGTAGCTGAAATATAGGAGTTAGAAAATAAACTTGTGTGTTTTCGTGAATAGGAACAATAGAGTGAAATATAGTACAGATATAACAGCTGTATATTCGTACATGAAGGAACAGAGTAACTGAAATATAAGATAGATAGTTTTATATTCACTCAACATGATTTGGTTTAGGATAGATCCGTAGTACAGAATACGGTCGTAGAAGGCGAATAGTATGAACAGATGGTCTGGCATTGCGACTCTGTGTGCCATCATACGCCCCATACGTGGATCTTTGCTTATGCGCTATGTCCAGACTCGATCATTTAGAGGCTGACGTGGTGTAGCTGGGACGTTGTTTAGTGCGGCGTCACACAACATTCCCGATAATGTCGCGGGCATTTAGAACACAAGGTGTCATCTGTACATTCAAGGTTTTCTCCCGACTGCATATATCTCTGAATACATCCTGATTCCCTTGTTGGCTGTACGTATTTACTCGTGGTAGACAATGATCGGTTAGATGAAAAGTATCTCTTAGCATGTAACTCAGTTTGACAAGGATCACCGGTTGCCATTAACAGATACCTACACCAATTTACATGGTAAAACTACCGACTGTATGCATCGTGTATCGATATATCAAAAGTATAACAATAACCCCTTGCAACTTATGCTGGTCATATTAGGTTACTAAATGGTTCGGGTGGCCTTGATCAGGCTCGGTGACTTTGTTGATGACCTCTCATCTTACCTCGACGGCTTAGACCGTTGCTCATAATATCAATCACTGGATTGCTGTTCCAGACCCGATTATATACAGGTTACCGCCACATAGCTGGAATATTGATGCGTGTGGCCTTAAACAACAAAGGCCTACCGTAAATGAGACGCCATGGAAACCGGCCCTATCTCCGAGCCACATCAAGGCCGTGTCAATGAACTGTATGACGGCGATGAAGACGATCTGGTTGACCACGATGGTGGCGACAAGCTTGATGCCATCAACTGCTCCCACTGATAAAGCCTCCAGCACGTTCCGGAACTTGCTGAAAAAAGCCACAGTCTGCATTAGTCAAACTAGATGACGGCGGCCTGTAACTTTGAGCTGGACAAAATAAGTTAATTAATTTCTTCAAGCCACAGTTTGCATTAGTCAAACTAGATGACGGCGGCCTGTAACTTTGAGCTGGACAAACTAAGTTAATTCATTTCTTCAAGCCACAGTCTGCATTAGTCAAACCAGATGACGGCAGCCTGTAACTTTGAGCTGGACAAACTAAGTTAATTCATTTCTTCAAGCCACAGTTTGCATTAGTCAAACTAGATGACGGCGGCCTGTAACTTTGAGCTGGACAAACTAAGTTAATTCATTTCTTCGAGCCACAGTTTGCATTAGTCAAACTAGATGACGGCGGCCTGTAACTTTGAGCTGGACAAACTAATATAAGTTAATTCATTTCTTCAAGCCACAGTTTGCATTAGTCAAACCAGATGACGGCAGCCTGTAACTTTGAGCTGGACAAACTAAGTTAATTCATTTCTTCAAGCCACAGTTTGCATTAGTCAAACTAGATGACGGCGGCCTGTAACTTTGAGCTGGACAAACTAAGTTAATTCATTTCTTCAAGCCACAGTTTGCATTAGTCAAACTAGATGACGGCAGCCTGTAACTTGAAGCTGGACAAACTAAGTTAATTCATTTCTTCAAGCCACAGTTTGCATTAGTCAAACAAGATGACGGCGGCCTGTTACTTTGAGCTGGACAAACTAAGTTAATTAATTTCTTCAAGCCACAGTCTGCATTAGTCAAACCAGATGACGGTGGCCTGTAACTTTGAGCTGGACAAACTAAGTTAATACATTTCTTAAGCCACAGTTTGCATTAGTCAAACTAGATGACGGCGGCCTGTAGCTTTGAGCTGGACAAACTAAGTTAATTCATTTCTTCGAGCCACAGTTTGCATTAGTCAAACTAGATGACGGCAGCCTGTAACTTTGAGCTGGACAAACTAAGTTAATTCATTTCTTCAAGCCACAGTTTGCATTAGTCAAACTAGATGACGGCGGCCTGTAACTTTGAGCTGGACAAACTAAGTTAATTCATTTCTTCGAGCCACAGTTTGCATTAGTCAAACTAGATGACGGCGGCCTGTAACTTTGAGCTGGACAAACTAAGTTAATTAATTTCTTCGAGCCACAGTTTGTATTAGTCAAACTAGATGACGGCGGCCCATAACTTTGAGCTGGACAAACTAAGTTAATTAATTTCTTCGAGCCACAGTTTGTATTAGTCAAACCAGATGACGGCGGCCTGTAACTTTGAGCTGGACAAACTAAGTTAATTCATTTCTTCAAGCCACAGTTTGCATTAGTCAAACCAGATGACGGCAGCCTGTAGCTTTGAGCTGGACAAACTAAGTTAATTCATTTCTTCGAGCCACAGTTTGCATTAGTCAAACTAGATGCCGGCAGCCTGTAACTTTGAGCTGGACAAACTAGGTTAATTAATTTCTTCAAGCCACAGTTTGCATTAGTCAAACCAGATGACGGCGGCCTGTAACTTTGAGCGAGAAAATCTAGTGGTTGATACAGTGAGCATATACAAACAACAAACCCCTTTACGTAATCATAAGAAATCTCTGCTCATCCTTTGTACCATACTGTCTACATAAAACGAATTTGTTTGCTATCACCATCAACTTGTGATGACACCAGGTGTTCGCAAAAAGTGAGAGTATCCTGAGTCACAGGTGGCACTCGTCACAACCACGGTCAAACGCAGGTCTAATCGTACACCTGAACAAACTCAAACTCAGAAACGTGAAATTCAAAATAGGGATTTTTTTGTCAGTGATGTGGGATGTCAAATGATGCAACGTCCCACGCCTGGATACGATCACTTGCATTCAACCAGGTCACCGAGCTTGACCACCCGATCTATAAAGCCTCTTTTTTCGACAAACAGGGATTTCTGGTGAGGTCAAGATGCGATGTTTCACTTGACACTGAATATGCTTCATTGTAGGCTGGTGCGGTCGGGTAGCCTAGTGGTTAAAGCGTTCGCTCGTCACGCAGAAGACCCGGTTCGATTCCCGACATGGATACAATGTGTGGAACCAATTGCTGGAATATTGCTAAAAAGCGGCGTAAAACCAAACTCACTCACTCATTGTAGGCTTCATAAGATATACTTGTATACTAGGCTCGGATTTTGTATTGAGAGTGCATATGTGTGTCAGTTACAGCTGAAAAAAACAAATATCTTTTTATTAAAACTATATATAAGTCTAATTATTTTTTTCAAAACAAACCCTCTTGCAACAAAATAGTTTTGTGGCCTTCAGTTTTGTTCAACAGTTTGATGTACAACTATTTATTTTAACCATCTTCAGGAACAGTTTTACTCCCATTTGTCAGTTTCATACCATGTTATGCATGTATGAATTAATTCTGAAGGAAATGCGCAGTCAAGATTAACTTAGACATGGATATATGTAGCAGCTATGTGGGGAGTGTGGGCATGTTTCAATTCAAACTGAATTCAACCAAATCTACCAAACGTGTTTGGATTATAATATTACATAGTACTGACTAACAAGAATATGTCAAGACTGTCAAGAAGATGTAGCTCACATACATTGTTCTGATAATTGCACAGGTACTGTCAGCCACAGAGACTGAGAATTAGCAGCGAGTTGGTCTCTCTGAACAGAATATCAGTTATATCACAACGTGTCAACTTGATGTGGGTGGAAAAAGCACGAAGTAAGTGAGTTGAGGTGAAATGGGGTTTTACGTCGCGTTCAAGATTATTGCACTTATGTAGCGATGTGCATGCGCGCGTGCTTGCTTGCTTGCTTGCTTGCGTGCGTGCGTGCGTGCATGCGTGCGTGCGTGTATGTATGGCTGCTTGTACTCGTCCGGACTAATGGCGATTTTATAGAGCTATCCCAACGAGATACCATGCCGCCAACGTAACATGAGTACCCCATTAAGACACAGTATACGGACTCCGAGCCGACCAGTCCTTGTTTTAGCCCCTTGATGCCGAGTGCCAGGCAGGGTATCAACAAGTACCATCTTTAGGTGTGCCGCGGCCGGGGATCGAAACCCCAGACCTTTCGCTCTCCGGGCAGACGCTCTACCACGAGACGACGGAGCCGGTCAGTACAAAGCGATGCAGGTCTTTTGGTACATTTAGTGCTTTGAGGAAACTGTATTGTCTCCAAACCTAGAAACATAACTAGGGCGTATCAGGATCAGAGATATCTCGTTCGAGAAGGGACGTAGTTCCGCGGAAGGATTACGGCGCCTCAGACGACTGGGTCACTCGTGCCCAGCAGGGTGTTATGATCCATCTCAACAATGAAGTAATCCCTACACAACGGAATATTGAAAGGACTGTCGATGATAATTGTTTCTTGATATAGCGTGAATAGATATGGGCCATGCTTGTTTAACCATAAAAGCTTATTGATGTTGTACCATTTAGCAAAACGCTAAAGTGTACGAGAGTGGTTGCAAACATGGGCACGTTTAGACCAGTAACCTATTATCGGTACGGGTGAGATAAATTTACTTGATCATTTACGGGCATTGGTATAAATACATAATTATGTATAAATATAAAACTTAGATGACTGTGTGTCTAAAGTTACATTGTATATCTCGGAAAATATATAAACGTCAACGCAGTCAATAATCAGTCTCGAGTATCTGCCGAAACAGATTCCATTGTGCTTTAAAGACGAAATAGTGATGAACATTATACGAATGGATCGCTGAAAATCATTGAGGACACAAAGTGTTCGCGAAACGCGTAAGCACGTCTTGCTCTATCGGTAACAGCCACCACTCACATAATCTTCATAAGAAGTACGTGTGTGTTTGTTTGTGTAGCGTAACGTCGTACCCAACAATATTCCCGTCACACGACGTTAGAGAAATGCATGAAAACTCAATGCGGACGTCAGAGCAGCAGCACACATCACAACTTGCTCTCACGCATCACAAAGCAGGGGATTCATCTACCTTGTCTTGATAGTGTAGGCATCCTTGGGCTTAATCTTGGTCCAGCGCGTCTCAGGTACCATGAGTTTGGCTATGGCCAGAGCAGCAGGAGCAGACATGATGGAGGCAGCAAGAAGGTGATTTGCCGGAGCCTGGAGACACAGAACAACATGGACACCATGGAACAACGTAAGGCCATTTGCTGACATTCATTAGTGAACAATTCTTTGGATATTAAGCTTTTGTAAACGCCATGGGTTTTCTATAAATCGCAAATAAATTATACATGTTCCAGATTGCGAGGCCTCGTCCGTAACCTACAAGAAGGTTTTTTATCGATCAATGTCACTTGCGACAACACAAGTCCATGCACGTATGACTAGCAGTACGTTCTTCAATTAATCCCTCCGCATTTTGTTTTATGACATACATTATGTAGTTGTTTGACGCTACTGTAGTTGTTTGACCCTACTGTAGTTGTTTGACCCTACTGTAGTTGTTTGACCCTACTGTAGTTGTTTGACTCTACTGTAGTTGTTTGACCCTACTGTAGTTGTTTGACCCTACTGTAGTTGTTTGACGCTACTGTAGTTGTTTGACGCTACTGTAGTTGTTTGACGCTACTGTAGTTGTTTGACCCTACTGTAGTTGTTTGACGCTACTGTAGTTGTTTGACGCTACTGTAGTTGTTTGACCCTACTGTAGTTGTTTGACCCTACTGTAGTTGTTTGACCCTACTGAAATACAAATGGTGTTGAATTTAGAAAATACTCATGTACATACAGGAATGTGTAGGACAAGTTGACATGTTTTTCGCTATGCAAGTTTTCGCGAAGACGGAACCGAGTTGATAAAATGACCAAAGGAGAATCTCTGTCCGGGAAAGATACGAGTGGTCAAGAATGACCTTGACGTAGTTGTAAACGCGAATGATTATTTGTGGGATATGGCATGCAAATTTCATATGTTAACAAAAAGAGAAACCTGTGCATTGGCTATTTCATATGTTTGTATGTAGGTAACCGTTTCCAGTTCGACAAGGAAGGGAGCCAAGGTCATTCTCGCAGGTCAATCCTGACTACAGCAGTACCTCGATCTTCAGAAACCTTCCATTGGAACACATGTCCTGATTGTCCGCATTCTGATGCTACACTTTATATGTGTATCCTCATACTCAACGTAATAGTGTCCATGTTGGACATTGATCAAGGTGATTTAGAGTCTAGTTTATCCAGTTAATCCTCATTGACTATTGCCGGGGTTTTATATATATTTACAGAATAAAATGTATAAATGCAGCAAAGAGGGTTTGGGTGATCCTGGCACAGTCAGGCTGGTTAGGCTCTTCATCAGCTCAGGGCCCTTGCCCCCTCTACACGCAGCCCCGACAGCGAATGGGGCTTCTCCGAGGAAGCAATGCCAAGTCGAACCCACCCAGAATGTTTCGGAGAATGTGACGACTCCCCAACACTTTCTGCATTACCCAGATTGTCAGAAGGGCTGTATTCCTGGCAGCAAACCTGGGTACTCTCCCAATGTCAGTCAACAGATTGATTGCCTGAGGCACTGAGAAAAATGGGCAATCGGACAACTTGGTACTTGGTATGCAAGCGTGACATTTCCAAAGTCTGCAAATTTTCAATGTTTTTCCTGAATCTTGTCAATCACATAAGTATCAAAAGGGACAGAAAATTTAGAAAATTGGCTTTATCAAAAATGACAAGATCAGGTTTGTTGCCCTGGGTTGTCTGAGGCTGTATACGGACCTATTCCTAAGAATTTTGTGCATGACGCCCTCTACATAGTGTTAAGACCACCTCCGTGGTCTAATGGTAGAGCGTCCGCCCGGAGAGCGGAAGGTCCGGGGTGCGATCCCCGGCCGCGTCATACCAAAAGACGTTAAAAGATGGTACTTGTTGTTACCCTGTCTGGTGCTCGGCATTAAAGGGCTAAAGCGAGGACTGGTCGGCTCGGAGTCCGTATCATGTGTCTGAGTAGGGTATTTATGTTAAACTGCGGCATGGAATCTCAGTGAGCTAGCACTATAAATCGGCATCAGTCCGGACTGGAACAAGCAGCCACACACACACACACACACACACACATACACGTGCATGTACGTCGCTATATAAGTGCAATAATCTTGGAAGCGACGTTAAACCCCATTTCACCTCACCGACATAGTGTTAATATCATTATTGTTGTTGTAGTTGTGATTTCCGAAAATACACCGAGAAGCTGTCTTAATTTTACCACAAAAATGTACTGCAGTACATGGGAATCAGATGTACTTAAGGATTGAAGTTGTATTCGTTGACGTTCATCAGCTGATAAAAAACAGTGCCTCACGTGAGCAAATTCCATGATGCGCGAAGCGATTGACAACGTAGTCACGTGACATTCTGACGTTCATCGGGAAATGAACGACAGTCAGCTTGGTAGTGTTCACCTAGGCGAGGTCAACCTCTACTGTCAATATTAGTATGTAATGACATACAAAAATATTAAATAGTGGCGAGGTTGAGATATGCCCTATGCCTTATCTTATATCCAATATGTCAATAAATATTGCATTCAAAAAACTGTCTGCCGTCGGCTAAATGAATGTTAATGCAAACTATTTCTTGAGACCTACATGTATATGCAAAACAGGTCATCGACTTTTCCGAAACCTCTATAATATGGACACCGTTTCCATCATCATTGAAAGTAAAGAGATAACCCACTCCATACGCTGCATTCCGAACACTCACTATTACGGACATGTTGTTTTAAACTGTCTGAGGCTACATGGACACCAGTTATACCTACCCCAAAGGGGGGCACGGGTGGCCCAGTCGTCTAAGGCGCCGCGATTCGCTGTGCAGAGTTGCGTCCCTTGGGCACGCCAGAAACCTATGATTGTGGGTTCGAATCCCGGTTCGCCCCGATTATGTTTCTAGGTTTGTCAGCACCATACCCGTGCTCGTGGGTTTCACCGAAGTGGTAAACGTCTTAGACCTGCATCACTTCGAGCTTTCCTCCCACATTAAGCTGACACGCCGCGATATAACTGGAATACTGTTAAAAGCGGCGTTAAACCGAACTCACTCACTCACTCACTCACTTACCCCAAAGCTTGTAAGCATCCCAAACACACTTCCAGATATACTAGCAAACCCCGCCGCCATGATGGCGTGCATCTCGGACGGTGTAACGAGGTTGAGGTACGGCTTCACAGATATGGGAGCCTCTGCCTGCAAAACAAGGAGTTACAGAATGTCACTGGGAAACCGTGAAAAACACTTTCATTTCGCTGTGCAGAGTTGCGTCCCTTAGGTGTGCCAGAAACCTATGATCATGGGTTCGAATCCCGGTTCGACGTGATAACGTTTTTAGGTTTCACAGTTTAAGGTTTTCAAAGTTGGACAAGTCTCAGCCCTGCATCAACAATTTGTATTATTTTCTCAATAGCTCAATTATCTTCTCGAAATTACGAAGTGTTTGTCCTTGCTTCGATTATTTTCTCGTCATATCAAGTTTTTTTTTCAAAAACTCGAATATTCGAGTTTTTGAAATACATTTTGAATAACGATAAAAGAATCGAAAGTACGAGAAAATGATCGAAGCAGCCAGAAAAAAACTGGAAGCAGCGAGAATATTTTCGAAATATCGAGAAAAAAATCGGTGTAACGAGAAAGTACTCTAAGTTTCAAGAAAATAATGTAAATAACGAGAAATTTCGATTTAATAAAATAATGAATGCTAATGACGTGGCAAAATTAGGCTTTCGTAGAAAAAAGTAATCATCATCTTATTCCCAAAACTTATTTTAATTACCGATGGTTGAACGTATTAGATACACATCTTCCACAGTTTACATTTGATTGTAATTCATAATATTATTAACTACAGTACCAAACAACAGTTCAGGATCACCCGATTCTTTCATGTTACTATAGTTAATCTGTCATGCAATGATGAGCCTTAACTGTTATTTAGTAGTACACAAAGGTGATCGCAACTCACGGGACCAAGGAACATGTTAAGTGCAGCGTTCACGGATGCTATAGGACTTGTGCCAAGACAGAAGGTCAGGAACCATCCAAAGTTGGCTACAAACGCCTGGAGAATCCCGTAGTGGTACAACACATTCACTGTGGCGCTCATTGTGATCACCAGCGGCATAACCTGAATAAGATACACTTCATTAAAGCAATGGCGGTCACTATTTTGAAAACACTGTTTTTTTATGCAATTGCGGTCACTATTTTGAAAACACTGTTTTTATGTATAAAGTAACATGGTTAATTGGCATAACTGTTCTTGACCTTTTTAATATTATTGTTGTTGGATATTACTTTTACAATTTCGAGGAAACAATTTTTTAATGTGGCTTTATATCTGATAGTTTAAAACCCCAGCATAATCTGCCTCGGAAAACCGGAAATAACTGTCTTGAAATAATTGTCTCAGGTTGAACATTACAGGAATTGAAGCAAATAAAGTAGACGAAATAATGTTTAGTGACAGAATGCTTCAAAAAGTGAACTTAATTTGGACAAAATAATGATTTTAAAATAATTTATTCAAGAACACTAACATTAAGCGTAGATGAGCTGTTGATACTCACGGCAAACACAAACTTATGGTCTCTGTAGGATTGACCAAACACAAACACAGACCCCTTGTCCGTATGTTTCAGAAATTCTTCAACTCTTTCTCCAAGCCAAAAGAATAGGTTGTAGCCTGCGGTGGTTCTTAGGATCAAGAGAGCACAGAGGAACTGCGTTCCAATACCCCAGAATACAGCATGCCAGTTTACCTGAAGAGCAAATACACGAACGAAGCGTGAATGAGTGAAAATTAAGCAACATTTCATTTAGAGACCGACCATTTGATATTGATTGATAATATACATCGTTGCAAGGCGCTTTCCTTGAAAGGATATTCAGTTTCATAGATTTATTTAAACAAAATATCTGATCTTCATACAAGCCCCCTAACCCCATGCCCCACAATATCAAATGGTTGATCCTTTTTATCAAGCGTATGACGTTGATGTGGGAGGAAGTCTCAAGATGATGCAGATATTAGACCTTTGCCATTTAATACTTACGACAACTGAATGCAGAGAGACAAACGATGATAATCAGGTCGTCTTTGAGATTTGAACCCGCGCAAAACGAATTGCAGAAGCTTATACCACATGGCCACTGTTTCTCCTTTAGCATAATATAGTAAACATGTTTCACGTTGCTGTTAACAATATTCAAGATAGTCGAGCTACCTTTGTTTTTTAGCCCCATTTATTTATATTATTTTGAATTAGAGGGGGGGGGGGGGGGGTGGTTTTGGATACATAGTCATTTATATCATATAAATAATATTAGTGCCATCAATGCAATAAACTAACAAGAAGAACGTGCATCACGATTCGATAAATATGCAAATAAGATTACCTTACAGAATCTTACTTTGAAAAGCTTCATACGTTCATGCGCTGCCAGGGGGCACGGGTGGCCCAGTCGTCTAAGGCGCCGCGATTCGCTGTGCAGAGTTGCGTCCCTTGGGCACGCCAGAAACGTATGATTGTGGTTTCGAATCCCGGTTCGCCCCGATTATGTTTCTAGGTTTGTCAGCACCATACCCGAGCTCGTGGGTTTCACCGAAGTGTTAAACGTCTGAGACCTGCATCACTTCGGGCTTTCCTCCCACATCAAGCTGACACGCCGTGATATAACTGGAATACTGTTAAAAGCGGCGTTAAACCCAACTCACTCACTCACACACTCATGCGCTGCCTACATGCCCGAAGAACTGTAGCTTAACGTTCCCATCAATTTTGATAGAGTAACTTCTTTCAAAGGTATTTAGAGTTTGGAGCACTTAGTAAGGATAAGATATATGGATGAATGCCTTCTTTATTACGATCAGGAGCGACGTTCGGTGTAGGTGCTTGATATAGTTGTCAGAACTTGCACCGAAGCGTCACTCCTTTTTGTAATAAAGAAGTTGTTCATCCATATATCTTATCCTTACTTAATTGTAATAGATGTGTTCCAATGTGTCAATGTACTATAGAATACATTGGGCGGTTCACTCGGGTGTTGTATACACACGCATAATACAATATTATGTTCTAATATTTCATATTAACGATACGAAAATACGGCTAATATTCTTGTATGTACTTTCGTATCCTGTTTATAGTCTTTGGGACACTTCTGATGGGCACGTCTATATATGGTCACAGTGACATTACTGCTGAATATGACTATATATAGTCACAGGAGGATCACCATGGCTAGAGTAGGTGCCCAGTAACATGTAGCTATCTGGTCTACAATAGGTCCCCAGTAACATATAGGTCCCCAGTCCGAATATCAATAGGTTCCCTAGCTGTAATCTGTAATTATCCGGATAGCAATAGGTCCCAAGTAACCTATACTTGCCCGGAAAGCAATAGGTCCCCAGTAACCTATACTTGTCCGGATAGCAATATGTCCCCAGTAACCTATAATTGTCCGGATAGCAATAGGTCCCAAGTAACCTATACTTGTCTGCATAGCAATAAGTCCCCTGGAACCTATGCTTGTCCGGATAGCAATAGGTCCTCAGTAACCTATACTTGTCTGCATAGCAATAGGTCCCCTGGAACCTATGCTTGTCTGGATAGCAATAGGTCCTCAGTAACCTATACTTGTCCGGGTAGCAATAGGTCCTCAGTAACCTATACTTGTCTTCATAGCAATAGGTCCCCTGGAACCTATGCTTGTCTGGATAGCAATAGGTTCTCAGTAACCTATACTTGTCTGGATAGCAATAGGTCCCCAGTAACCTATACTTGTCCGGATAGCAATATGTCCCCAGTAACCTATAATTGTCCGGATAGCAATAGGTCCCAAGTAACCTATACTTGTCTGCATAGCAATAAGTCCCCTGGAACCTATGCTTGTCCGGATAGCAATAGGTCCTCAGTAACCTATACTTGTCTGCATAGCAATAGGTCCCCTGGAACCTATGCTTGTCTGGATAGCAATAGGTCCTCAGTAACCTATACTTGCCGGGTAGCAATAGGTCCTCAGTAACCTATACTTGTCTTCATAGCAATAGGTCCCCTGGAACCTATGCTTGTCTGGATAGCAATAGGTTCTCAGTAACCTATACTTGTCTTGATAGCAATAGGTCCCCAGTAACCTATACTTGTCCGGATAGCAATAGGTCCCTAGTAACCAATACTTGTCTGGATAGCAATAGGTCCCCAGTAACCTATACTTGTCCTGATAGCAATAAGTCCCCAGGAACCTATACTTGTCCGGATAGAAATAGGTCCCCAGTAGCCTATATTTGTCCGGATAGCGATAGGTGCCCAGTAGCCTATACTTGCCCAGATAGCAAAACGTCCCCAGGAACCTATACTTGTCCGGATAGCAATCCGTCCCCAGGAACCTATACTTGTCCGGATAGCAATAGGTCCCAAGTAACCTATACTTGTTCGGATAGCAATAGGTCCCCAGTAACCTATACTTGTCCGGAAAACAATAGGTCCCAAGTAACCTATAATTGTCCGGAAAACAATAGGTCCCCAGTAACCTATACCCGTCCTGATAGCAATAGGTCCCCAGTAACCTATATTTGTCCGGAGAGAAATAAGTCCTCAGTAACCTATTTTTGTCTTGTCGCAATAGGTCACTTGTAACCTATACTTGTACGGGTAATGGCGAAGAGCCTAAGAGCTATATAAATTATAGCCTTCATAAAATATTTGAAAGTTTTCAATTCAAAAGTTTCCTTTCTAACATTAACATGGTCATGAAATGGATGAATCGGGTCTCCTCGAGTTCCCTGGGGCAATTTGGTGTCAGTTGGCGCGTTCTTTATGTATAGCGTTATGAAAAGATTTCCACTGAATAATATTGTAAGTGGATTCAACAAATTGGATTCACATATTCCATACGTGTTTGTCAGTTCAGTGACATAGGCGGACGCTATGGGCCATAAAATTCGTTCGTTTCTTTTCAAGCGTAAGGCGATAGATTAGTTTAAACATATTTCATTCAGGTTGAAATGGATTGGGAACAAGTTATCCAACTTAGGACACCCTCTCCATGGTATTTACAAGAGCATGTACAGTAAATCATATTCAAGTAAAACAGAAAAGAAGTGTATAGATATAAAAGAAATGTGAAAAAGTGAGACTAGTATATTTACATTAAGGTGTTACCCAAAATTCTTTTTATGACTTATACACATTTGCACTGCCTTAAAGATAAGTTGATTTTCGATAATGGACAAACCTTCATTTCCGTTTAACATCAAATTTAAATCAAACTAAACATTGCTTAGATTTGAATTTAAAGTTGATTCAACTAGTTGATTATGTGGTGAAGAAAAGCCGAGTGCTGTATCGTCAGCAAAGAGTCTTGTTGTGCAATCTAATTCATCATCAATGTCGTTAACAAATACAATAAATAAAAAGGGACCTAACACCGACCCCTGTGGAACGCCAGCCTTCAAAATCCTTGGCTTGGATAGCGCTTCGCTTGCAAACTCTTATTGAGTACGATTTCTTATGTAACTAGACAGCCATTCGTGTAACTTCCCTTTTATACAAATTGAATACATTTCTAATTTGTACATAAGCCCTCTATGCCAGACACAATCAAATGCTTTTGACACATCACCCCAAAAAATGCAATATTTTTCTCTATTGTCTAAAGATATACAAATTTAATTATACAATTCAATTAATTGGTGGACAGTGGAATGCCTGACTGGTATTAATATAACAATTTATTGTCATGCAAATAGTTATAGTTATAAAGAGGCTGAAATACAATTCTCTCAAACACTTTACCAATACAACTAAAGGGTGAAACTGGTCTGTAATTTGTCACAACTGTATGATCACCTTTCTTATACAAAGGCATAACATGCGCTCTTTTCCATTCTGATTGACATGCATTTAAAGCCAATGAATGATTGAACAACAAACATAAAACAATACTGATGCTGTTTACTGTTTTCTTTAATAGGTTATGACTTAATTTGTCTGAACCAGATGTCATTAATTTGAGTAAGAGGCGACTAACGGGATCGGGTGGTCAGGCTCGATGACTTGTTTGATGTGTGTCATCGTATCTCAATCGCGTGGATCTATGCTCACGATATCAATCACAGGATTGTCTGGTCCATGCTCGATTATTTACGGACCGCTGTCATATAGCTGGAATATTGCAGAGTGTGGCGTTAAACAACAAACAAACCATATTAATTTGTAGACATTTTATACCGTCAAATATTTCGTTTTCTGAGACAGTTAATTTATCAAACATACTCTTAGTGCGTTGCTTGAAATATGTTAATTCTTCAGTTAGGGTAGTTATAGATTGGAAATATTCATTTAATCTCTCTGATTTTTCTAAATCTGAAAAAATAGTGGGACAGACATCTTGTTTCCTTAACGGCAATATTTTTCTCTATTGTCTAAAGATATACAAATTTAATTATACATTTCAATTAATTGGTGGACAGTGGAATGCCTGACTGGTATTGATATCACAATTTATTGTCATGCAAATAGTTATAGTTATAAAGAGGCTGAAATACAATTCTCTCAAACACTTTACCAATACAACTAATGGGTGAAATTGGTCTGTAATTTGTCACAACTGTATGATCACCTTTCTTATACAAAGGCATAACATGCGCTCTTTTCCATTCTGATTGATATGCATTTAAAGCCAATGAATGATTGAACAACAAACATAAAACAATACTGATGCTGTTTACTGTTTTCTTTAATAGGTTATAACTTAATTTGTCTGAACCAGATGTCTTATTAATTTGAGTAAGAGGCGACTAACGGGATCGGGTGGTCAGGCTCGCTGACTCGGTTGATGCGTGTCATCGTATCTCAATTGCGTGGATCTATGCTCACGATATCAATCACAGGATTGTCTGGTCCATGTTCGATTATTTACGGACCGCTGTCATATAGCTGGAATATTGCAGAGTGCGGCGTTAAACAACAAACAAAGCATATTAATTTGAAGACATTTTATACCGTCAAATATTTCGTTTTCTGAGACAAATAATTTATCAAACATACTCTTAGTGCGTTGCTTGAAATATGTTAATTCTTCAGTTAGGGTAGATATGGATTGGAAATATTCATTTAATTTCTCTGATTTTTCTAAATCTGAAAATATAGTGGGACAGACATCTTGTTTCCTTAACGGGGGAATGTTGGAAGATGTTCCAGAGTTTTTGACAACCTATCTTAATAATTTCTAATATGATTGTTTATTTACTATATATAGTTCTATCATCTATGTTAGAATAGAACTTTTCTTTCGCATGACTTTACATGTTGTTGACTTTATTGCGTTGTATTTTTGTAGGCTATAATATCTGTCTCCTAAACTCTCCTTTTTGATTTCTTTCGTAACCTATTACGTATCCTGCACTACTTTCTTGTGAATCAAACCATTTGTCATTAGGGTTACAAAATTATTCAATCTTTCATACAACACTTCACACATATCATCAACATTTGTACATTCCTTAGATGGCGATAGAGGGGGCAGATAAAGCACAAAAAACATCATTCAGAGCGATAGATGCTGGAGGGAAGGCACCAAAAAAATTAATTAGCATTCCGAACGAACGTGATTAGGGAGGTTGAACACAACAGATATACATAAAATCAGAACGATCTACGAGGGAAGGTATATGCCATATCATGATGCCTGTCGACTAGTAGATGGGCAGCAACTAGCAACAAATAGAACGCTCACAGGGGGACGAAATAAGGGGTGAAAGCTGATTTAGACCGCAGTTCCATCTGTATGACTGCGGTTTATGCAGAGTCGTGTTGCGGCCAGACACACCAAGGAATGCGATATCAAGAGCAAACGACGCACCCCCTCAGGGCTTAATGAAACGCACTCCTTCCTCTCTCGTAGGCTCTCACGGCAATCATGGGATAGCGAAGCCAATTATGCCCCAGACTCCCTGTCCTGGGCTACCCTTAAGATATCATCTGCATAAAGAGCTGTGTGTACAAAAGTTATTTGGATCACTGATAACGATGAATAGGAATATATACCAGTCGTTTACCTTTAATAATTATTTTACGAGGTTCAGGTTTGTACACGATTTGTACAGGGTGCAGATAAGGAGGATCGATTAAATCGGGGGGCTATACATGAGTATTAAGATACTGATCAACTTGTATTGTGAGGAGGATTATCTGAGGTCTGTTATTTAGATTTAAAGTATGTAGGTCATCAGATAGATAATGATGATGAATGATAGACGATGCATTGCTTTTGATTGATGTCTCTATAGCTACTGAATCTCATACGAGTTAAGTATTTTTCAATTTTTAGTTCTCACTTGAAACACGCGAACACTGGTATTGTGCTGACAAACCTAGAAACACTATCGGGGCGAACCGGGATTCGAACCAAAAATCGTAGGTTTCTGTCGTGCACAAGGTGCGCGACTCTGAACAGTGCATTGCGGCGCCTTAGACAACAGGACCATACATGCCACAGGTTCATTGGAGGACACGAGTGCACACGAGTGCAATGTACACAATGATTCGTCGAGGGGTAGCCAATAGGAGAAAGCGTTCTCTGGTCACGGCCCAGATTCAATGAATGAAATGCGTGAAGACAATCTCGGGTTTCCTCAGACGTGATTTATGAGTTAAATGGATGTAAAGTGTAACTAATATGAGCCCTGCCTGGGGTACCACAAGGTTCCGTTTTAGGGTCATTTCTATCCATGTTAATAAAATGAAATTTGTTGTTTAAGACTTTCACTGTAATATTACGTTTGAAACAATTATGTTTATGTGTAGTCGTTCAAATGCAGAGTTAATCTGCTAATTATGTCCCACATTCAGCTGACCCTCCCTGATGTAATACTACTATTCACGGTGGGGTGTTAATCCAACGTACTCGTCACCTGTCGAATTGAACATTAAAAAGATTGTTTTGACAACCTGTTGTTTTCGGGAAAAGATATTCCTATGAGATCATACTTTCTTAATATTCAGTCATATTATGGCAATATGAGGTGGATCATCACTCTCTGGACAAATGATATCGAATTCGGCAAAATAGCCCGAAATAAATACATACCAATATCTGAGTGTTTTTCTGACAAAAACGTACTGTACTCAGCTGATCCGTCATGATATAATTTAACTACAATCCGCTCTACAGTACGTCGTGCATAGGATTTCAGTGACACTCTAAGAACACAGTGTTTTTATTGCGTACTGAACATTAGAAAGGCCACCTGTCATCGGAGATTGGAGCCTACTGGGGAATAAACATTGTTTGTATTTTCCAACGTCTCTAAATTTAAACTTCAACCCAATTATCGATTGCAAACTTAAATTTGATCTTCCCTTACAACCTTCCCATGTTGAAATCACTATGAAGGTATGGTTCACTTAATATTCAGTGTCTCCTTTGTGAGCAGATGAGGTGGAACGGCCCTTTCCTGCCACTAATGGTTTCGAAATCGACATTAACACAATAATATATATCGGGTGAGGTGAGATGAGGTTAAATCAGGCTTAACATGGCCGTCAAGATTATAACAGTTATTCTGTGTCTGTGTGTGGGCGCGTGTGTGCTTGAACTAGTCCGGACCAATGCTGTTTTGTTTAGTGAGTGAGTTGGGTTTTAACGCCGCCCTTAACAGTATTCCAGTTATATTTAGACACTGACTCCGAGCCGACCAGTCCTTGTTTCATCTCATCCCCATAACGCCGAGCTTCTGCCACGGAAACAACAAGTACCATGATGATGGTAAAGACCATGACGACAACGACGACGACGACGATGATGATGATGATGATGATCATCATCTATCTTAATTTATTATGTGAATACATATTTCTCGTGCAGATTCTCGCCATTTTTCGTCCATGCTGATGTATACAATATCTCATTCCAAGTTTTTCTTGTATTTGTATTTCTATGTTTAGTACCGATGTGGGATATAGGCCCATGATAAAGTATAGTACCTAACACCTTTCCTACATAAAAGCAATGGTTTAACATGGTCTTCCAAATTTGACACATTAGATGTACGACGCGATTCCCTATTTTGACTTGTACCATATGTTCCCGTTTTTCAGGCTATGTACATATGGCTTGGCGAGAGGAAGGAAATAGTATCTACTTCATTCCCCTCTAACTACGTACGTTTCGGTAAACGGACTGATTGGTAAAATGTTTTCAAGCAAGAGTGTGTACAGCTTCAATTTCGTTGATATATCTATACCCCACATTTCAACAACAAACAGGAAAATGGGGACAACTTTTGCATCAAAGGTCTTAAAAAATTGTATATAAGGAATAGGCTTATATAAGTAATTTCTAAATGGAAAACAGTAAATGTTTAGCCTGAGATTCTGACCAACTACAGAGTTCTGACCAATATAAATACAGTGATGTCATTCTCGGATCGATGGTACAAAGTATCCGTACCTTTAACTACGTATGTGAGATACAATAACGTTTGTGGAACTGGGCCAAGGGTATTTATCAAGCTAGAATATAATACCCTGGATAATCGAGGATGGGACAGCAAAATACTTACTCTATCTGGATGTTTGGACATCAAGAAGCCGACAATGATGAAGAAGGTGAGACCGCCGAGGGGAATTAGGTTGTGTGAACCGGAATTGGCGGCATTTATCCCCAAGTAGGTGACTACAAATATCACCATGGCAACATACAGTGACCTTGAGAAAAGGAGAGAAAGAGCAAGTGATGACAAATATACAGAACATGTTATGTTTCGTACGAACATAAATACACAAAAGGCTCGTGGCATTCAATGAATTAACATATGCCCAACAAACATAAAGCAATAAACATGTATTGAACAAAGAATAATATATAGTTGAGCACTTTTGGATCGAACTGGAAGGCACCTGAGAAAGCGTTCGACTCTTCCAAGTGTTCGACACATAAAGAAATGAAATGTTGACTTCTTCGCAACACCAATAAGACGTGACGTGCTCATTCAGTTCGACACAACTGAGAATATATTTACATTAGAGTTCGACATTACGATGTTCAGATGTATCTATAACTCTCCGATCTGCGTGATTCCGATGTGAGAAGCTTACTATTGTATTCCTCTCGCCAAGCTCTATGTACAGAATGTGACAAGCTTACCATTGTATTCCTCTCGCCAAACCCTATGTACAGAATGTGACAAGCTTACCATTGTATTCTCTCGCCAAGCCCTATGTACAGAATGTGACAAGCTTACCATTGTATTCCGCTCGCCAAACCCTATGTACAGAATGTGACAAGCTTACCATCGTATTCCTCTCGCCAAGTCCTATGTACAGAATGGGACAAGCTTACCATTGTATTCCTCTCGCCAAGCCCTATGTACAGAATGTGACAAGCTTGCCGTCGTATTCCTCTCGCCAAGCCCTATGTACAGAATGTGACAAGCTTGCCGTCGTTTTCTCTCGCCAAGCCCTATGTACAGAATGTGACAAGCTTACCATTGTATTCCTCTCGCCAAGCCCTATGTACAGAATGTGACAAGCTTACCATACCATTCCACTCGCCACACTCTATGTACAGAATGCCAGAAGCTTACGTTTTTCGTCATATTGTCACACCCAATGTACGAAATGTGAGAAGCTTACCATCGTATTCATCTCGCCAAGCTCTATGTACAAAAGGTGAAAAGCATATTCCTGTTGCCATGCCTTATGTATAAAAGGTTTGAAACTTTCTATCTTGTCCCCCTGTTCAAGCCCTGTGTACAGAAGGTTAAAATCTTACCATCTTATTCCTCGTGCCAAGCGAGGGTACGCCTGAAGGCCCTTGCGTTGTTTCGAGGGGACCACATTGAGACACTCACGTATCCGTGTCCAGAAGTTCACCTTAACGATGACGAGAAGAACGAATATTGATGCTAACAGCAACCTCACTGATCCTTCGTCGCCGAAGGAATGGTACATGCTGAAGCCGAAATAGACGAGGTATGCCGTCAATAATACCGCATATAGTATAGCTTTCAGCAGCGTTTTGTTCCTTACTATCCCAGCCCATAGGGACACCCTGCTCCGACGTATCACTCCTCCGCATTCTAGATAATATTCTCTATAGTCTTCGTCGTCGTTGACGTCATTGATGACGTCATTGTTGATGTCATGGATGACGTTATTGTTGACGTTAGTCAGGGATGTAGACAGCGTTGTTTCAACAAATTTGCCCTTTTCGCTGTCCTGCAATGAAACATATGTTTCAGGGGTACAGAGTATGTTATTGAGCTAATATTTTGATTCAGTGTGCAATGTTTCAGCAGCTAACATAGAACCAGTTTCGGAGTTTCTTATGGTCCCCGATCTTATACGTGTTAGATACTGTTATTGAGCCTTGGAATTTACACTAATATTTTCCCTCATTGTCCTTTAAACATATCATATCATTTAATATCAGGGCGGCCAAAATCTATTGTTATTTCTATCCAGTAAAGAGTCTTGCTTAAATTATTTGTTTAGATGGGAAAGTAAAGAGTCTTGCCTACACTAAGGTCACATATTTGCTGACGAGTCCTTCACACATATCATGTCATTTTATATTAGGGCGTCCGATATTTATTTTTATTTATTTCCAGTAAAGAGTCTTGCTTAAATTATTTGTTCGGATGGTAAGGTACAGAGTCTTGCCTACACTAAGTTCACATTGTTGCTGACGAGTCCTTCACACATATCATGTCATTTTATATTAGGGCGTCCGATATTTATTTTTATTTCTTTCCAGTAAAGAGTCTTGCTTAAATTATTTGTTCGGATGGAAAGTAAAGAGTCTTGCCTACACTAAGTTCACATTTTTGCTGACGAGTCCTTCACACATATCATGTCATTTTATATTAGGGCGTCCGATATTTATTTTTATTTCTTTCCAGTAAAGAGTCTTGCTTAAATTATTTGTTCGGATGGTAAGGTAAAGAGTCTTGCCTACACTAAGTTCACATTGTTGCTGACGAGTCCTTCACACATATCATGTCATTTTTTATTAGGGCGTCCGATATTTATTTTTATTTCTTTCCAGTAAAGAGTCTTGCTTAAATTATTTGTTTAGATGGGAAAGTAAAGAGTCTTGCCTACACTAAGGTCACATATGTGCTGACGAGTCCTTCACACATATCATGTCATTTTATATTAGGGCGTCCGATATTTATTTTTATTTCTTTCCAGTAAAGAGTCTTGCTTAAATTATTTGTTCTGATGGTAAGGTACATAGTCTTGCCTACACTAAGTTCACATTGTTGCTGACGAGTTTCACAGACAGGATGATTTGGTAAGAAACATGACCATGGCATCTGAAAATGATAACATTGAAGTACACAAAAGACTAAACACCTAAAGTACCCTGTCGTGGACCATTGATTCCTAAAAGTATATATTTTCCAACATAAGGAAGCTCCGAGGTTCACACTTCATTAAACACACACAAAGTGAAAGTAAATTCATAACTGTCGTTGGAATGCTGTACTGGGAATGAGGAGCGGTAAAATGGGGTCGTCGCGTTCACGATTATTTCACTTACATAAAGTCGTGCATGAGTGCATGTGTGTGGGGGTGCATTTGTTTGGATTTATGCCCTTCGTATTCCTACCCGACTGCGATACAATTTTTAGCGAGGTGTGGTATGACGCGGCCAGTTGATTGAATCAATTACCTTCCTCTCTACGGGCAGTCTGTCCAACCATTACACCACGGAGGTTTAAGTGAGTGAGTGAGTGAGTGAGCTGGGTTTAACGCCGCTTTTAAAAGTATTCCAGTTATATCACGGCGTGTCAGCTTAATGTGGGAGGAAAGCCCGAAGTGATGCAGGTCTCAGACGTTTACCACTTCGGTGAAACCAACGAGCTCGGGTATGGTGCTGACAAACCTAGAAACATAATCGGAGCGAACCGGGATTCGTAACCACAATCATAGGTTTCTGGTGTGCCCCAGGGACGCAACTGTAGCACAGCGTTGGTTGGTTGGTTGGATTGTTGTTTAACGCCGCACTCAGCAATATTCCAGCTATATGACGGCGGTCTGTAAATAATCGAGTCTGGACCAGACAATCCAGTGATTGATATCATGAGCATCGATCCACGCAATTGGGATCGATGACATGTATCAACCAAGTCAGCGAGTCTGACCACCCGATCCCGTTAGTCGCCTTTTACGACAAGCATAGTCACCTTTTACGGCAAGCATGGGTTGCTGAGGACCTATTCTACCCCGGAATCTTCAAGGGTCTGTAGCACAGCGAATCGTGGCGCCTAAGACGACAGGGCCACCCGTGCCCCCGCCCCCGCGGTGGTTTAAGTGCACGAAGACACTCGGAGCATGTCGGCTTTTACCCCCATCCACATTATGCCCCAAGCATCAGTGGATTATTTCACGGCACATCATGTACCGCCAGATCCCATCGCACAAACTAAATTGAAGGATGAACGATTTTACTTTTCTGTAGTCAGATCAGAAATTGGGTATGCCATTACATTTAGAGAAAATATATAAGGTCAAATGTTAGAACTGAGCCACAAATACCCCCGGGTTGTGTCGAATACCTCCAGGTTGTGTCGAATACCTCCAGGTGGTGTTATATAACAGCTACGTGAACGACACAAGTGTGGGCGTATTAGCCCAGATTAACGGTATCGTTGACTTGTAGACGTTTATGTGCTCTTCGTGTTCGACAGGCTTCACAGTTTGTTTAAGAAGAGAAATGTCAATATTTCAACATTAAGCAACTTCGAGTTGTTGTTTTTTTCTTGTTAACGAGGTTACTCTCTCTTGAACGGCATTTTATCAGGTTGGTTCAAGTACCAACATTATCGTGTTTTCTGAGGTAGTAGTTGGGAATTACCCCAGCTTACATCGGTCATCTTGGTGGCAAATGTAGCTGAGATCACAGATTTCTAAGATTATTTGGGACTTTTGTGGGTCTTTTGTATGCATTCCCCTTTTACGAAAATCCCACTTGGAACTAAAAAGGTGAATATATTCGGCATGGCAACATGATTATCGAATTTATTGCATATAAATAACAGCAAATGAAGGTGGATTCTGCCCTCTGTCGATGTCAGGAAAGCATATGGAGTCATCAATAATTATTTGATGAGAAACTTTAGAGAAGATGATGTATTCAAGTAGTCATGGCATCCTATGTGAACAGCGTTAAACCCAATAAAGTCACTCAATCTAAGTGACCTCAAACGTCCCCTCTTCTTTTCGTCCTCATAACAAAACAGTTATTACAATAACTATTATAATCATTTTAGTTGTATTGCAAAGGTATCATCATAACATGAATTACTCAATTCATTCATTCAAGATGTACACTCAATTGAGACCGCCTCCGTGGTTTAGTGAATAGAGCACCCGCGACATGCCAAAGGATGTTTAAAAAAAGTACTTTTTGTTACCCTGCCAGGCGCTCGGTATTAAGGGGCTGAAACAAGGACTGGTCGGCTAAGAGTCAGTATACTGTGAGTGATGTATTTATGTTAAACTGCGGCATGGTATCTCTGTGGGGTATCACTTATGATCGGCATTAGTCCGGACAAGTACAAGTAGCCACACACACACATATATACACACAGGTACATGCACGTCGCTATGTAAGTGCAATAATCTTGAACGCGACGTTCAACACCATTTCACCTGACTTCCACTAAATAGATTAACAGATGATTCGACAAAAAAAACTAAACTTTCAATATAGTGGTCAATATCCACAGATAAATCCACTCATAAAAAAAGTGTAAGTCAACAAGTCCCCAGTGAAAGATCAGCCACTCTGTGTTTACAATACATGTCTCTCTATTTTATGAATAATATTGCAAAATAAGCATTTGGTTTCTTCGGCAACTTACTTGGTATTTGTCTGTGTTTTCTTCACGAAATTCGTACTCCTTGTCGGAGGACATATTTACGTGTTATCAGTCTCTCTGGGATGGTGTGCTTCACTGGGTCAGTGGTTTTATGTAAGTATGAACTCACTGGTTACGTTTTGGCGCTTGTTTTCGTACGTTCGTGAGATGAACCTTCATTCTATCCGTTTTTACACCGATGAGTGTTACAGTATTCTATATCTATAATAGCATACACTGGTTTGTCTTGTCCAATCTTGGGTATTTGCTGGCCATCGTCATATAGTTGGAATATTGCATACGAGGGCTGGTCAAAAAGTTCCAAGCCTGACTAACTTTCAACTATGGGCCATGACAAAGTGAACTAGTCAATATAGTACATTGTTTAGGTAGTTCACTACAAGTGTATTTTGTCTGTTGAGGCCGTCTGTATAATAGGGACCGCCAGTTGAACGTGAAAGGGGTCAAAATCGACACAGAATGGAAAAGAACGAGTACTGAGCAGTCATAAAGTTTATTACTTTAGAGAAAAGTACCCCCCAAAAAATTCATGACCGCGTGTCAGCAGTGTATGGGGATAAGTACCCCAGCTATTCCACTGTTAAACGTTTGTCAGCTATGTTTAAGGCTGGGACAAAAAGTCTTGATGATAACCCTAGGTCTGGAAGTCCTTCAACTTCCATAAGTGAAGATTCAATCAAGGAGATAGAAAAAACTTATACTGTCTGATGTATTACCATTGCTGAACTTGAGACACAGGTCTAAGCTATGGATCCATTGAAACTGTTATTCATGTACATTTACAGATGAATAAGATATTTGCTCGTTGGGTGCCAAATTTTCTAAATTCCGATCTTAAGGGAAAATGAACTGAAATTGCCAGAGAACATTAGGAGGTAATTGAGGAGTATTTCGTCAAATTCAAAAAGAGATTAATAACGGGTAATGAAACATGGTTCTACTACTATGACTCAAAACGTCAATCCATGAAATGGCACCATTCCGCTTCTCCGACACTTTAGGAATTCAAGTCTTCAAGATCAGTGAAGGAAGTTTTGCCCACTTTATTCTGGGATGCAAAAAGTGTCACTGATTTATGACTTAGAAAGTCTAAACACGATTACCGGTGCCAACTATGCTGATTTACTTCATCGCCTGATAGATTCTATCAAAGAAATGTGGAGAGGATTGTTTACTGCTGGAGTTCTACTACTTCACGACAATGTCTCTTTGACACCTCAGTGCAAAGGCTGCTGTGCGACAGTGTTAGTTCGAAGAGCTTCCTCACCCACCATACTCGCCAGTGATTTCCATCAGTTTCCTAAACTGACAGAACACCTTCATGGAAAGCGCTATGGACATCGGCAACGATGACCTTAAAGCTGCCGTGAATGGGTTTTTCAGGGTGACTTCAGAACACTTCCTGACTGGAAGCTTCACTATAGATTTGAGAAGTGCATTGAAAGGCAGAGGATTATGTTGAAACATACATTTACAAACACATTCTCAATTATTGTTATTGATTGTTAGGCTCAGAACTTTTTGACCAGTCTTTGTATAACAACATGCAGTAAGTAGGGTCAATGCATAACTCTTTACGAAAAGACTTGCTGAAAAAATAAGAATTATATTCGGAGCAAATCTTGAACTACGATCAGCGGCTCCGCGCACATAAAAGGGCGTAAAAACGTAAACTTAGGAATATAATTCCCAAGATGTGTTCGTGAGCTATACTTGTGTTCAGACATCCATGATATACAGGTCAATGTACGTGTGTGACTAAGGAAAGGTATCTTTGAATAGAATGACCATGACACACAAGACACTGTGTCGTCGGACTCCTTTGGTTTTTTTGAGAAAAGATCATTATATGGTCCTAATCAAGTTACAGACCTACAACTTTCCACACCAGACAAGATGGTTTCAAAGGTACTTAGTTGTGTTTGTTGGTTGCTTTACGCTACAATGAGCAATATTCTAGCCATATCATGGAGGAATGTGATCAACTGGCGACGACCCGTTGCCGTCACGATACGATTGTTGAGCCTGACCACCCGCAAACCGCTTGAGCTGCTGTAGACCTGCGCCATGACTGTGGAACGTGATCCGCTGCATACACGTTCCACAGTATACATAGTAAAAGCCTTGGCAAGTCTAGATCAAATTAAACCAAGTCTAGTTTCCTTTTTTCGACATGGCGCCACTCTATAAAAATATGATGTCATGACACATAGGATCACGTTACATAAGAGCTGACCCGCATTGTGAGCAGAATATTCAAAAGGATTCATCTTAATCGAAGCTGTTCCGGTAAATAATGATACCATAAGTCGAATGCCTTGGTTGTTTGTTTGTTATTCTTTCTTGAGAAAGTAATATTAATTATGGAAAGTATTCATACAAAGTAAAAACTGAATAAAAAACAACGGCAATGAAGCATGCACTCTCAATCGTTTTTTTTATCAGAACGTGATATCTGAGAAAACACACAATGTCATGTATTTAAATATATTAAATTAAAAAAATGAAAACTCGTGATGCAAGCACAGACTTCAACCTTACTTCACTGACGGTAATTGAATTAAGTTCTTCTGCACCAAGTAAAATGCGCATGGATCACAAAAGATAGGGCTTTTTTCATGATGGCATTTCACTACATATGAAGACATGAAAACATACCTGAATACATTTGATATGGTGAACATAAAAGAACCTATTTCAGTGAGTTTCTCTTTATGACAGGTAGGTATTGAGGGGTGACGTCGACCTCGCGTGATGCTTGGTTGAATCTGTTATGCTCGACTACAAAAACCTGCTTAGATGTCCGTGCCATCAACCGAAACATCTCGGGTAGATACGCTCAAGAATTTCTTTCCACCATGGTAATGATCTACGGTATCTTCTCAACATACCCTGTGACTAATCGATGGTGTCTCATCAATTAACTGGTAATGATCTCTGGTGTCCCATCAACATACCTAGTAATGATCGATGGTGTCTCTTCAATATACCTGGAAGTGATCTCCGGTGTCTAATCAACATATCCAGGTAGTCATCTCCGGTGTCTAATCAACATATCCTGATAGTGATCTCTGGTGTCTCATCAACATATCCTGATAGTGATATCTGGTGTCTCATCAACATATCCTGGTAGTGATCTCTGGTGTCTCATTAACATATCCTGATAGTGATCACTGGTGTCTCATCAATTTATCTGGTAGTGATCTCTGGTGTCTCATCAACATACCCTGGTAGTGACCTCTGGTGTCTCATCAACATATCCAGGTAGTGATCTCCGGAGTCTCATCAACATATCCAGGTAGTGATCTCCAGTGTCTCATCTACATATCCTGGTAGTGATCTCTGGTGTCTCATTAACATATCCTGATAGTGATCACTGGTGTCTCATCAGTTTATCTGGTAGTGATCTCCGGTGTCTCATCAACATACCCTGGTAGTGACCTCTGGTGTCTCATCAACATATCCAGGTAGTGATCTCCGGAGTCTCATCAACATATCCAGGTAGTGATCTCCAGTGTCTCATCTACATACCCTGGTACTGACCTCTGGTGTTTTATCAAAATAACTGGTAATGTTCTTTGATGTCTCATCAACATACCCTGGTACTGATCTCTGGTGTCTCATCAACATATCCTGGTAGTGATCTCCGGTGTCTAATCATCATATCCTGGTAGCGATCTCCGGTGTCTCATCAACATATCCTGGTAGTGACCTCTGGTGTCTCATCAACATATCCTGGTAGTGACCTCTGGTGTCTCATCAACATACCCTGGTAGTGATCTCCGGTGTCTCATCAACATGTCCTGGTAGTGATCTCTGGTGTCTCATCAACATACCCTGGTAGTGACCTCCGTCGTCTCATCAACATACCCTGGTAGTGATCTCTGGTGTCTCATCATCATATCCTGGTAGTGATCTCTGGTGTCTCATCAACTTACCTGGTAATGATCGATGGTGTCTCTTCAATATACCTGGAAGTGATCTCCGGTGTCTAATCAACATATCCTGGTAGTCATCTCCGGTGTCTAATCAACATATCCTGGTAGTGATCTCTGGTGTCTCATCAACATATCCTGATAGTGATCTCTGGTGTCTCATCAACATATCCTGGTAGCGATCTCCGGTGTCTCATCAACATATCCTGGTAGTGACCTCTGGTGTCTAATCAACATATCCTGGTAGTCATCTCCGGTGTCTAATCAACATATCCTGGTAGTCATCTCTTGTGTCTCATCATCATATCCTGGTAGCGATCTCCGGTGTCTCATCAACATATCCTGGTAGTGACCTCTGGTGTCTCATCAACATACCCTGGTAGTGATCTCCGGTTTCTCATCAACATATCCTGGTAGTCATCTCTGGTGTCTCATCATCATATCCTGGTAGCGATCTCCGGTGTCTCATCAACATATCCTGGTAGTGACCTCTGGTGTCTCATCAACATATCCTGGTAGTGACCTCTGGTGTCTCATCAACATACCCTGGTAGTGATCTCCGGTGTCTCATCAACATATCCTGGTAGTGATCTCCGGTGTCTCATCAACATATCTGGTAATGATCGATGGTGTCTCTTCAATATACCTGGAAGTGATCTCTGATGTCCCATCAATATACCTGGTAGTGATCACCGGTGTCTCATCAAGATACCTGGTAATGAACAACGGTATCTCCTAAAAACTACCCTGGTTGTTGGTTGGTTTGTTGTTTAACGCCGCACTCAGCTATATCCAGTGACTGACATCATGAGCATTGATCCACGAAATTGGTATCAATGACATTCATCAACCAAGTAAGCGAGCCTGACCACCCGATCCCGTTAGTCGCCTTTTACGAATAGTCGATTTTTTACGGCAAGCATGGGTTGTTGAAGACTTATTCTCAACCGGTTCTTCACGGGTCACGCTGGTAGTGATCTCCGGTGTCTCATCAACATACCCTGGTAGTGACCTCTGGTCTCTCATCAACATACCCTGGTTGTGACCTCTGGTGTCTCATCAACATACCCTGGTAGTGATCTCTCGTCTCTCATCAACATACCCTGGTAGTGACCTCTGGTCTCTCATCAACATATCCTGGTAGTGATCTCTGGTGTCTCATCAACATATCCT